AAGTTGATCTTTCTTTGGGTGTGAAAATGGACCGCATTACTTGTTATTTATAAAGAGTAGAGTAGTATGATTTATTATGTTTTTGAGGAAAAATAACATAAAAAGAAGTTACTAATTGTAATATTCCAATTCAGGCATTTAAGATATTAAAATCTCAAGGAAAGAAGTAATGCCTGATCTAATATTTTGTAAATATAATTAGATAACTAAAATACCATTGTGTCAATTTTTTTTAAAAAAAAACTATCGGAGTTTTATATATTGACGAGAAAAATAGATAAAACAGGATAAAATTAAGATTCTGATTTTTCTTCTGTTCAAACTTGTTGTCTTCTCATGTCATTTTATTAGTGCAACATAGTAATTGGGTAATTTTTTTAGGGATTTCTAAAAATGTCTTTTGTTTTTATAAAAGATTTACATGTACTTTTTTTTGCATAATTTCTGGTCCTTTTAAGTTTTAACCATTCTATCTTCAAAGTGGACCTGGTATGATCCAAAACACAATTAAAATATGCACTTGAAGGGGAAAAAACAGAACAAAAGCTTCCTCTTTTATTTGGTGGGAAACCATATGTTGTTATTTGCTCTGTTGTGGATTTGCAGGTCATGCAACGCAGAAGATTCCTGCATGAAGTGTGGAGACAGAGGAATCACGTCTCCATTAATCTGTGCCAATTTGTCTAAACTGAGACTAAAATTGTGTTTCCTTTTTTCTCTCTTTTCATTTCAATTTAGAAAGTAGCTTTGCTTGTGCTCGCTAAAGTTCATGAAAATAAATAGTAGTTTAGCTAAAGAAAAAATGCTAATTAAAGTATAAGCATCAATTATGAAGCACATGTGGAAAGCTCACAGAATTAATCATGGACCTAGTTTCATTCAAGAAAAGGCAAAAATGGGTTCTATTACAATTTAATAATCTCACCTTACAAGCTTTAGTTTTTGTATTATTGGTGACCTCAGATTAATAATTCAGGTTGAATAATTAAATTTAAACAGTTCAAATATAATATTCAAAATAAGTACAATGGGATCATCTTTGAGATGAGTAAAATCTCGTTGGTGAATGGCGTAAATTTAACTCCAAACTAAACACATTATTTCTCTGATTGGAAGGACAATTAAAGCTGAGAAAAAAATAATATGAAATAAACTAACGAATAAATGTTTCTGTAAAAAAAAAAAAACAAATGAGTTGATGCATTTACCAAACAAATGTATCTGGCGTGTTTACATAATCTTGTTTGTAATTAACTTAATTACACTAGGGTTCATAAGTTATTACTCTTTCAATTTTTTTCCCTAAAAACCATTTTGCCTCTTTTCATTTAGTGATGCCAATGCTATTATTATCAGCATAAGTGCGATGTGTGGAAAGATAGTGACCACAATTATAGCTCAAGGAAGACGAGTGACCCCATCCTTTTACAAAGTGGGGACTAGAATTAAATTGGACACTTCATCGCCTTCATGACATTATTATTATTTTTTTATACACTCATGGCATCATAATTAATAATAATATTTTACTTCAACAGATTGGTGTGTATGCACTACAATTATTTATTACACTTAAACTCGTGAATTTTCAAACCAGACGTCCCTCCATAATTAAACAGAAATAAAAATAATAAAATAAAAACATTGTTATTTTTTCTAATTTTAAATATTACGTATTTTGCGTGCTGAATTTTGGGCCCGTTGATTTGTCTGGGCCGTGGGCCCAATTGGGGCGCTGTAACGGAATTGTTGGGCCGTACGAGATTCTTGAGCAATCAGCATGGGTCCCAGTCTCATCAAACAAAGAGCAAGCGTGCCTTCTCATTCAAGGAACTTAGCTGGTTAGGATTCAATCAAACTCGCTTTATCATCAAAATAAAAACCAAGTTTGGGAATATTCATGATGGCCCTAGTTTTGCATGTAGAACTAAGGTAAAACTTCAGGATTTGTTCTTTTCCCCTAAATTGCTTTGTGCTGGTCACACAGATTATGTTTGCTGTTGCCGAAAATTGACCAAAAAGGAAGTTGAATTAGGGGGTGTCGTCAAAATTGTTTGAAGGTAAAGCAGTTGGGCTTTGGGGACTAAAGCTTATGGCAATGATTAGCTTTTTCAAATTATTGGTGAAACAGATAAAGGTGCAAGAGACTAACTTAGAAACTATTCATGGCAAATGAGTTATCTTCTATGATAGTTTAAGCAATTTGCCTGGAGAGATTAAAAACGTCAATTTCTTCTCCAAGTTCAGACACAACCTAATTTTCTTCTTATTTGGGAAAGTACTTCAAAATTATCTTGTCACAGCCGTTTAGTATACTAGGGGAATTTGTTTTTAAGTATTTATTAAGTTCTGTTGTAATCACCATTCGACAGTTATTACTTTTTGAATGATAGAAACATGATGGTTATTTTCCTCTGAAACTAGTTTATTTTTCATCTATTTTCATGGTATGTATTAAAAAAAATTCTACTTGCCGCAAGTGTTAAACAAGTCTTTGTAATAAAGAAAAGAGTAATATTTTATGGAAATAAAAAAGGGAAGCAAATTTAGGGACAAAGCAGATGAAAGGCACATAGGGCATGATGGCAATGCCACTTCCTGCTTATACACACACACATATATATTCTACAAGATGCAACGGAAAAAAAAAAATTGGGGTGGGTATAGCATTAATTTTGAAGATTGAGCAGGCACTCGTGTATTTCAGATATTGATGTTTGTGGGTTTTTAAAGTGCGAATGATTATTGCAGGTGGGAGTATTGTTTTAGGGATAATAATGAAAAGATGCTACCACATAGAGTAGAGGCATTGAAAAGGGCACACCTGTGGCTGTGTGTTCTCCCCAATCAGAGGCAGGCATTAGAGTTCCGTTTAGTATAAAATATTAAAATTGAAAGATAGAGAATGAGATTATAATTAAAAAATATATTTAACATGAGTAATTACTTGTTACATGGATTATACAAACCATTGAGATGGGATTGGAGAATACCAGCTCCCATCATGGTATTCTTCAACCCCACATATATGGATTTGTCTAATCTCATATAGTCAAAAAATCTTACATGTTAAATATTCTTTTAATCAATTTTTTTAACTTCAATCCCAACTCTTATCCCTCATTTCTAGAGGTTTATGATACTTACAGCAGCTTAGGATTAGGAGGTCAGCATAACATAGACCCTACAAAGGAAAAAAAAAAAAAGGAGGGAATTGACTAGACCCAAGCCTGGGAAAGAAACCTAAGCTTAGGACACTACACAGATAATAGAGATGGAGGCTGAGTGTTAAAAATAAGCAGAAGAACTTCACTTTGTTACGAAACCTTGCTGGGGAAGGGTATAGTAATCTGCTTAATTATGGCTGGGAATGTTTTGAAGCAGGCCTACAACGCCACACTGGGGAATGCAAAACTCTCAGATATATTGATAGAGAATGAGCAGGCAGGCTGGCTTATAAAATCTAATAAGATAGAGATTGGAAACCCAACGCTGCACGTGAGTGTGTTTATTTGATTCAAAGGCACGTGACATGTCTCAGTGAGCCTACTACAACCCTCTGATACACTACCACTTTCTTATATTGGAATGGAAGGGACATGACATGTGGCATGAGCCCATATAGTTGGCATTGGATCTCCTCCAACCCAAAAAAAAAAAAAAAGGGGGCTCCCTGATTTGGGTGGAAAACCCTTCCCATAGGTGACACCTACTGCCAAACACAAGAAATAGAGATTCTCCCGCTACCAAACTTACAAGAGCAGATGAAATTCCTTTTATTGCATGCGGCATCAAATCTTTTATTATAATTATTATTAACAGAAAAATGCATCACCACCGGAAGAACATTACAAAGTTAGTAGGTCACGAAACAAGAAAAAGCAGGACAATCACTTACAAAAACCGAAGAACTAACCTTGGATCACAAACTCTCCTTTCTTTGATTCCTCTATCAGGGAAGTTTACAAATAATCAGTATCAGGAAGAGGCTGGCCGTGTACCCCAACTCTCAACGGTGGGATGTAATCGTCTCAGATATATTAGGTTTCTCATCCATCTAACTTTATTAGTTTGGTTGTAGTCCCGTTGTTGGGTATGTTTGGAGTCTAAAACGTGCTTAAACTTAATCACCTTACTTATAGCTGAAATTCCTTGTTTGGATAAGCTTTTAGCTTATTTAGCTTGTATTCACCTTACTTAAGTCAAAAAACCAGTGAAAAGCAGAAGCAGAAAAGAGATGCTTGTGGATTCCTGCGTTTGCTTTGGTAAAAGGCCTGAGGACATTTATTGCAAATTTAATACCAAATTTGCCCTCTGGCTTTTCTCTCTCATGCATTGATTTTGTGCATTTTCAAAATTTTTAATAACACAATTTTTTAAAAAATTATCATATTATAAATAACTTTTTTTTATTAACGGTTTTTTCCTATATTTTACCATATGTAAACGTAATACACGCATATGTATCACTCCCTCCTATTCATATTATAAGAAATTTTTTAAAAGAAATTTTTTATAAGGTTTATAAAAAGCTTTGATGGTTTTAATGAACATTAAATATATTTTTTTGCATATACGCCCATGTTTAATGAGGGGAGTGAGAGATTAGTAATTAATAAAATTTATGTCTTTTTTGATCATTTTACAACTAACTTTACTTTTTCAATAATAATCCAACTAGCTTCTATTTTTACAAATTAGCTTATTTACAAAAACTAATCTAAATATAAATTACATTACCTAATCTAACTTTTATTCAATCTAATTTTTTTTAAAATCAAATTAAAAATAACGGGTCAATATCATCAATTCTTTCAATCAATTTAAACCTTACTGAGAGCTTTGGACCCTCTCGTCGGGGAGGGAAAAAAAATTCCTAAGTCAACCCTCCCTCCCTCTCCCTGTTATCTCTTTTTTTTTTTTTTCAATTAAAAGAGTAGATATGAAGAGCACGCAGCAGCTGGTTAAAAAAAAAAAAAGAGAGAGAGAGAGCACGAAGCAGAATCCAACCCGCAATTTCCAACTCATAGAAGGGTTTCTGACCTATACCAATTCTCACATTTAACCACTACCTTACCGTTCAAGCATTCTTTTTTTTTTTTAACGTTATTGTCTCATTAAAACCGAAAATCTTACATATGTAATCTTCTCAGAGTTGTATTAACAAGAATGGGAACGACAGAAAGGTAGAACACCAACTGCTCCAAAATTAGATTCTGCGTAACATTCTGTTTGATTTTAACTTAAGAGGCGTAGGTATCGGTTTCTTAGAGCGTAAGTCAAGAGTCATTTCCGTTGTTACCTTTTCAGCAGTTAGATTCTTAACAGGCGCGGGTCGTGCTCTCATTCTCCCTGGGACCTGGTGGTGTCAAATAACCTGCAGAGAGAAATTTCCACATCATATTATGGAGTCGTGTTCTGCCATTCGATTTATATTGAAAAATTTACCAAAGGTTTTATTAAGAAAAAGCTATGAAAATAAATATATTATTTTTCACATGGATATCTACAATCCAGCAAGAAACAAGAGGTCTAACCCCTCGTACCAAGCTCCCTAGCATTACGCAAAAGAAATTGTACTCTTTGCATTAAGAGTGTGTGAGGTGAGAATAATCCCAAGGGCAAACACATGCCAAAAACAATTTTTAGTTCTTAATCAACACTAAAAATGAACATCACATTAACATGTAACGAGGAGAGAAACTGCCAGTTATTTTTCATTGCAGTGGCAAAACTGTAATCTGGGCTCTCAACCTGCGTATGGAGTAGTGCATGGCTTTGGTCTCGCATAAGAGCCCCCATCTATAATATACACATGGTATAATAAACATCACACTAGTACCAAAAATAAAATAACAGAATCCACGGCCGAAGACAAACCTAGGGAAGTTGTTTTCTGTTAGAGATTATTTCGGATGATATATAATCAGATGAGAATAGCATTGAAGAGAATGACTAATATCGGGTAACCAGAACTTGATGAATCGTCGGCTGTGACTGTGAAACTATGAACAGTTGCCACTAGGAATTCACTAAGATTACCAACAGAAGCAATTGAGCAATGGAAAATCACGTCCAATAGATAATGAGGAATCAGTTTAGCATTAGACTGATCATCGTATGTCGCCATTTTGTCTAGTACTTCTGCTACTGCTTAAAGGAGTAGGGCTTTGACTTGAGAGTTGCACATCAGAAAGAGAGACGGTTCCCCCTTGTGAGAAAATTAAACTGACAGAATTGCTTGAACCATTTCCAGAGGATGGCATTCTAGTGGAAAAAGATTCCATTTCTGAGCCTGACATCAGTTCAGGCTGAAGCTCTGAAGATGCTGTTGAAGGAGACAGGGTAGAAAGCAAGGACCCAACAGGGTATGGAGTTACCGGCATATCAGTGAGAGAGGATGCGGAGGGACTGTATCTCACAGACGCCAAAGGATGGTCAAATTTGCAAGTGGAGCCAAATTTGCAATGCCCGTTTTGTAAATAAAAAACACAAGGTTGCACCCCCTGTTTTCTAGAAAAGGAATTAATTAAGAAAAGTTCCCAAAAGAAAGAACATTAATTGTATAGCTGCAAAACAACATAAGAATGTCATTAAAACTTAATCTTCATGTTATCCAATTGCTAACTTTGATATCAAACAAGAGCATAAATGAAACAACAAATAACATGATATAAATAACTAATGAATCAAATCCATTTACAAGTCACTATTCAGCTATGGCTAATCATCATCCAGGCATGATTAACTAAAGGAACGTAAATACAAAGCATGTGTGAGGCATAAAATCAATACATGAAGTGTAATCATGAAGAAGAAAAGGGCAGCCTCAGCAAATAACTCAACAAAACCGATTACAAAGTGGGGAGGGGAAACAATTATAGTGCATTCTTTCGCACATGAATGCAACCTAGTCTTCCATAAAAATCAACCCAAGTTATTTCTTTGATGCTGAGACAAGATGCTAATTCGCTTTTATAAGACTCGAGGAAAACAATGCTTCATTGTCAACAATCTAACCATATCAATCAGTCAGCAACTGTTGGAACCCAACTGTAATTCAGTGTTATTTATGATTCAAAAGCAGAGATTCACCTCAAACCAATGTAAGAATAAGAGAATAAAGCTCAGGGAATTTAAGAGTTGCAGTCTATTAGGATTACTTTTCAGGAACTTAGAAAAATACATGAAAAAGGAAAGGGTGCTTTTGTGGGTCAGAACTTGGACTTCCTATTTTGGAGAAAGAAGTAGAAAAATAGGGTGGCTGTAGGGAGACGACAGTCAAAGGCTATGAATGGGTTATTTGGGAGAGTGCCAAGGTCATTTTTTGGGGCCTATAAATCATCCCATTTGAATTCAGCCAAGGGAGAAAAGGATTTGGAATTGCACTTGGTCCTTGGGGAAGGAGAGAGCCAGCTTCTTGAAAGATTGGCAACCTTGTTCTGTTTTAGAGTGTGGTGTCATTGTGTTGTGGTCTGTGTTCTGTTTTGTCTGAGTGTATAGCTGTTAGTTAATTGTTGTTTGTGTATTTAAGTGTGAGAGTATGATGTGTGTTAAATCACCCTACCCTTGAAATCTGACATATTATGCAGTAGCGTTATAATCAGTTTTATTTATTCCAGTCTTTGTTATCTATTTCTAGATTTTAAGTCCTCCTATATATTAGAGGGTCCTATCACAGTCACAGATAAAAGAATTGAAAGGGCTCTCACACTGCCGTTCTAGCACTCAAGAGGCTAAACTCTCCTCAACCAATTACCTACTTCCTACGCTCCCCTTTCCTCCCTATATCCCCTTGTCAGAGCGAGTTACAACTCCCTTGTCCTTTCCCTTCTCGCTCGCTCTCTCTTAGCTCACCATTTTCTTTCACACTATTCTTTCTCTAAAAACATGTTTTGGCACTGAGCCATATCCCATTAGCATCTCCAATCACTAACCAAATTGATAAGTCCAGCTATAAATAACAAGCTACCATGGTGGCCAAAAAAAAAACCTACCTTACTTAGGTGACCTCCAATATTCTATCTATATTAATCTCAATGGCATCAAATACCATCCAATGACATTATATTTGTTCCATTTCTTATGCTCTCTCGAAACACGCTGCTGCACAGCAGTCTTGGAAGTAATCAGTCACAGCACTTGTTTTCAGCAAGTACGTAGCATCAAATCAAATTAAACGGCAAAATTAATAAATCTCAAAACCTCAGTTACAGAACGATAAAATGCAGAGATAAGAAAAGGCTAAGAAAATCTGGGCAAATACTAGCACGCACGCAAGTGAATAGAAAACCATATAAATGGTCTTCGTGATACCGGCTAGGCATTTAATTGCAACCAAATCATAAATTAGCTTTGAGGCATATATTAAAAGAACATAATCCAAATTCTAGAAAAGGAGGGGAAATACCCAATTTTTTAATGTGATTAAACATCAGTACATCCTTCAATGCTCATAATTTTTTTTTTTGGCCAAAAAACGCTTGTAAAAGCAGCTCACTCCATTAAAAAAAAAAAAAAAAGTCATAAACATGAACAGCAACAGAAGTGGTCAAGAAAAATGAAAATAAACAAGTAAAGCCATTAGACTTCAGATTAAGTCACTACTGCAGCTGAAATGCGAGTTTTCCGTCAACAAAACTACAGCCCCAAAATGTGTTAAGCTGCTTCCTGTGTTCCCCATCCCATTACGACGCAAAAAACTTGAGCGCAACCAAAATTTATAATGTTGTACATGTACATAAACCTCTGACAGAATATATACACATCCCTCCAGCTAAAAGTTTCATCAGTCCTCATAGGAGAACAAAGCAAGTTGAAGACATCTTTGATGTAAGTGACCACACTTACCGGACGCAAAGGAAGACCAATGGGGCTGAGATGTGGCCGGGTCACAGTCCGGTCCCTGGGATGATGAAATCGACATGCTGATCCATATTTGCAGTCCCCTGTTCTCAGATAGTATTGGCATTCAGGTTCACCAGGTCTTTCAGGAAATATCGGTTCATTCAGGCCACTGCCTGAAAGGCCAGTAGTTGATGGAAGAGGAGTATATGGCCTAGCAAAAGCTGATGTTGATGAAGACAACTGGGTCACTCCATACAGAGAAGTAGCCCCAACACCAGATTGAGCACCAGGAGATAACACAGGACTCAGAGGTGCCTGTGCCAATTGCACAATTCAATTATCCCAACATATGAGAGTTCTAAAGAACATTGACAATTTATTCAAAAAGGCAAGAAAAAAGGTAAGAAAGGATGACTAGCTCCATAATGCAGAGTGATTATACCGTATAAGGACTCCATCCTGGAAAGGGAACAACCCCTGGAGAAAGGAGGACATGACCATAAGCCCCTTGCACATATGAACCAGGCAATATTGAGGGCCTGGCCACTCTCAAATTGTTGGATGCGCCCCCATACTGTTCAGCCAGAGGGACCGTAGGAGACTGCACCTGTTGATAAAACTGAGATGCAGAAGCCGGCATTGATGTGCCAGCTGGATGGGGATGATGGAATTTACAAGTTATGCCAAATTTGCACTGCCCCGTTTTCAAATAGTAGGAGCATTCTTTCTCACCCTGTAAAAATTAACACATGATTTAACTATTGCATGATTTGCCATCAATTACATGAGAAGGAAGAAGAGTCAAACCGGGCGTAAAGGGTATCCATAAATATTTAGAGAAGCTTGGCTTAATGATCCACCTCCATGTTTTGGATGGTGAAATTTACAGGATGCACCAAATTTGCAGGTTCCCGTTTTCAAATAATACTGATCATGAGAAGAGGTCCAGATTAATCCAACCAGAACAAAGCTATTTTAAATACAATGTAAAGATACGAGCAACAATTGGCCAGAGAAAGCAAAAAGTGTGAGGCAATTCCAGGAATCTACAATGCAAAGATCATAAAGAACAAAACCTGACATGAAGGTTCCCCCACTCGTTCTGGGTACTCCCCGGTAGCTCTCACAGCTGCTGCAACCTGAGTAGTTTTAGCTCCGTTGAGATTCATACAAACGAATATAACCATTTTAAACCCCATGGTGACATGAAAATTTATTTACATTCACTCTTTATTCTTTGTCCTCTCATTGGTAAGAATTTATGCAACATGAAATAAATATCCTCTCAACCAATTCTTGTTTGAAAGATCAATTAACAAGAAAAGAACTACGTATCTCAATCACGTAAAAATTAAACATCCATAAAGCTTTCAACACATTCCACTGAAGTCAGCAACTCGGAAAGGGTATGTCTACTATAGAAATATTGATGCAGCATCAGGGAGACACTATGATCGAACCAAAAACAAACCATATTAAAATGATCTATGTATACCGCAGCACGATCACGAGGATGATTGTAACGGCACCTGCTACCGTATCCACAGAACCCGGTTCGCATGTAATACACACAATTGGGTACGCCGGGTCGCTCCGGGTAAGATTCGGTGCCGCCAATAGTTAAGTGCCACATCGATTCTACAAGAATACCAAATTTGAAACAAAAAGCGTCATAAACCCCAACTTAACTTCCGCATTCAGGAAACCCTAACTGAGCAAGATCGTAAAAAGACCAAATTTGATACAAAACGTGGTAAGTTGAAACTCATAATTCTAAGCACCTTCAAGCCCAGGTTCGCCACCTGATGTGCGCCATTCAGATTGACTGCCCGCTTGCGACCCATTCCTAACCGGGTTCCGACCGTACAACTCCATGGAAATGGTTGTTTGTACTAAGGATCCAGAACAACTCAGACCTATGGTACTGCACAGGAAATTTACAGTAGTCTAGAATGTTCTGAGAGATCGGAGACGCTTTTGCCCCTTGCCCGGCTGCGTCGCGAATCCGAGTAACGGAGATGCGTTCCCACAGGAACGGAGTCTCTGCTCTTTCTTTCCTTTCCACACTCTCGCTCACCGTCTCACTCACTCGCGCACACTCACATCTCTAACTAGGACTGTAGTGTACGGTCTGGCTTCGGGGTTGGGTTTCAGCTTCTTCCCATTTCTTTTATATTTCTAACTTGATTTTTCAAATTTCTGCTTTCGTTTTTGGCTCAAGCCTTGTCCATGTGCGGATGTGCCTTGGTCGTTGGGTACCCGCCAAATAGCGCGCCCCAGGAAAATATTGGAAAAGATATAAATATATATATATACACACACACATATTTATATTATGTCCACCAGCTGACTTGTGTCTTTTTGGTTTATTGCTGGGGCAATGGGACTGGGACCTGTTCAAATGCTGTTGACAAAAATATATAGAAATAAATTTATTTATATAAATCTCATAAACTCATTGAAATATTATGAATTTTTTTACAAATTAATGGTAATTAATTTCACCTTTATTATTTTAATTATTCAAAAACCCTTTCTCTTGTAAGGGAATAGACTCACACAATGTCTTATTTCTGCAACTTTTTACGTTAAATTAGACGAGACGGAATAAGGACAGGCTCGTCCCATTGAACAGGGACGGGACAAAACTTTTGTTTTGTGTCCTGGTTTCGTCCCAATCCCGATAAGATCAAGACAGAATCTCGTCCTTCTTTTCTTTTTTTCCCCCTCTCGGTTTTGAGCCTTCAATTCAATCTTTTATTAGGCCTATCCAAATTTTGATTAAAATTTCTTCTTGTTCTTTTTTTTTTTTGGGCCTAACATATTGCTTTGAGCCAAAATCAATATCGATATAAAATTTGGGCCTTTGAAAATGGACAATATTTTTAATAATTTGTAATAAATTGGACACTTTCAGTATCAAAAATTAATTCTGCAGGCCAATTAGATGATAATCTGACGCCACAAATTGGATAAAACAATAGATGCAAAGATTAAATGCTAAAAGTGTAAGCATCTGTCCATCTTCCTTGAATTCCCTGCATTATTTTAACATATTTACAAAAAAAAATTTAAAATTATATATCCCGGGATGAGACAACCCGGTCTCCTGTCCCATCCCATCCCAAAGTGATCAGGATTAGAACGGACCTACCGGAACGGAACAATTTAAACACCCTTATGTTAAACTAACTTTTTTTTAATATATTTACCCGTTTTATCAGGAAAAACCACACGCCTTCAATTTTTTTTCTTAGTTTTTATATACAACCAGTTAGTGCCCCCATAGGGGCAGTATTTTTTTTTTTTTTTTACTACTTGAAATATGAAACTCACAGTCTCTTCTGCAAACTCTTGGCCCGTGCTTAGATGAAGAGAAAATTATAGAGGAGAGAAAATGAGAGGAAACATAAGAGAACGAAATGTATTTTCTCATGTTTGGATATTTGGATGGGAGAGAAAATGCAACAAAAAAAAGGAGGAAAAAAAAAAGATAGATTTCATGTACTCCTCCGGTCCTAATTATAAGACCCAATTGACTTATTTGAGGAGATTAAGGAAGTAAGTTAAGTTGGTTATTTATAATAAATAAGTGTTGTCATTCTTAAAATATCCTTACTAATTAAGTATATTGGCTTAAACTATCATTATTAGAAGAATTATCTTGGAAAAAAATGCATAAATATAAGAAACAAAATGGATTGGGTCTTATAATTAGGACCAAATAAAAGTCAAATTGGGTCTTATAATAAGGACCGGAGGAGTATTATTTTATATATATATTTTTCATATATAAAGAAAGTTGGGAAGAACACGAGATTTCCGTGATTCCCCCTCCTCTTATATTTTTTTGTTCTTGAATTTTTTCTTTCCATATTTAATTTTTTATTATGTTTAAAAAATTATTTACTTTTTATTTTTTTCAGGAAAACTAATTTTGAAATTTGTATAGTTTCATCAAGTTTTGAATCGGGTCCTAAGCTTTTTCTTTATTAGATCTTTTTAGTTTATGCCATTAAAGTAGTGAGTCCCTTAAAACTGTTAAATAAAAACTAAAGGTGCTATAACTTCCGTTAAAATGTACACATCTGGCAAATACTTGGATCATCTTCGGCCTATCTGGTTTGGCGTTTTGGAAAGGAACAAGAATAGCTTATAAGTATGATAAGACGGTTTATAAATTTGAAAACTGTGTCACGACTTTTAATCAATCTGACTTATGACTCAAAAGCTATTTTTTGAAGCATGATTATAAGAGCACCTAAAACTTACTTATAACTTATGTAAAAATAGTTTTTTAGAATTAAAAGACATTTTTATTCTTATGTTTATGTTGTTCTTATGCTTCTTTTTATAGATTCTTTGTGCTTCCCAAGCAGTTCTTAATTATTTATTTTTACTATTATCTTAAGTGAAAATAATTTTTAATAGTTTTATAATATTTTTCATTTTTAATATTATTTTTCATTTTATATTTATGTAAATTAAGCAAAGTATATCATCCAAATAATTATGTAATATTATTTGATTCAAAAATTTTCACGATTTCTAATTTAAATATATTTTATTCATTAAATGTAACTTTTTTCTATTATAATAATTTAAAATTATTATATTTTGTGAATTCATATTTTTAATCATTTTTTATTGTTTAATAAAAGTTATGTCCATTGTGGTCGTTCTATGAGTTAAACTTATTCAATCATAGTCCAAATAATTTTTTTACTTTACAAACAAACTTTTATAAAACTCAATTTAAACATAAATCACATTACCTAATTTAACTTTTATCTAATCTAATAATTTATTTATTTTAATTGATAATCCAAACATACCTCTTGACAGCTTGGACTCTACTGTGTATGTATGCGGCAAAAAAAAAGTAACTGAAAACAATTTTCTTTTACCTCATCGTTTGCAAACCAATTGTTATACTAGTCTTGGACTTTAGTGATTTAGTAAATTTAAATAGATTAAGAAAACTATTTAAATTATTTATTTATAATAAATAGGTATTGTTTTTCTTAGAATATTTTTACTATCTAAATTTAATTTTATGCTTCCAAGCAGTGATTATTTTACTATCTATTTTTTGTAATAAATTGATTTCGACCAGATAACCGTTTCATGTATATTTTACTTAATATAATATATAAGAATATTTTTATTTTGATCCTAACTATAAGGCTCTAGTTTACTTTTTTTTTTATGTTTATCCATGTTTTTAAAAAAATTATTATAATAATAGTAGTTCTAACTAATACACTTTATTAGCAAAAATATTTTTAAAAAATAATATCTATTTATTATAAATAAATAATTTAACTATTCTTCTCACCCTATTTAAATTTACTAAATCATTGAAGTTCCAGACCGGTATGATAATCGGGCAAAGGAGCAGTTCAGATTGTGACGTTGTGTTGACCAAAAAAAATAAAGAGGATTGCGACGTTGTGGTTGTGGCTTCGGAAAAGAAAAAATATCAGTTCTAGAAGCTATGCAATTGCATCATATACCCCCCGAGGCCTTCAATGGCGGCTAACTACGCAGGAAGGAGCAGAACAAGCTAGGTTTCTTTTTAGGAAAAATTAGAGAGAAGGACCTAAAAAAATTAGTATTTATTAAGAGGGATCTTAAAAATTGTAATTAATTTGAAAGATCAAAAATTAAAATAAAATTGTACAATTACCAAACTATACCTTATCAAATCCCTGTATTATCTCCAACACCCTTCTATCTCGATTTGATGGTTAATTATCAATTGAACTTAATTTCTCTCTCTCTGCGTATCTCTTTTTGATACACTCAAAGCTTCTATCAATAGCAATTGTCTTCTTGTAAATCCAGAATAAAGAAGACAAATTAAAAGGAATCAACTAGCAGACTATTTATTGGACTGTACGTATATTCTGAACATTATTTTTCCTCTTTTAGTTTGTTTGTACCGAATGTTTTCTTATTTTCTCATGGCCTCTATATAAAGACTTTTTGGATTAATATAAAAGTATATATTTGTACCTTCATTCAATCCCAACTATACATACATATGAACACAATCACACTATATATACAAGGCTTCTTAGATGAATATAAATATAGTTCTTTCTGTTAACCATAATATGAAAATCAGGTAAATACTACCGCTTCATAACCTAAGCTTCACTAATTATTTTTCCAACCACATCAGAATGAGGGGCAAAATCGCAATCACGCAGGCTGGAAATTTTTCCAGCCATGCATATCGGAATGAAAGGTTAGTAGATGTAGATATGAATGACTAAAAAATAGGACTCTATTTTTTTTAAGTGCTGTATTTAGTTTTTAATTTTAATGGGGGCAATTTAGTAATTATAAATTTATATTTCAATTGATAATTGATAGTCAAATATTGAGATGGGTGTTGGAGATAATGTAAGGATTTGGCCAGGGATAATTTCGTAATTGTAAATTCATATTTTAATTTTTGGTCGTTCAAATTAATTACAATTTTTATGATCACTCTTAATAAATACTCCTCCAATCCTAAATATAAAACCCTTTTCGTAGTGTAAAAACTTTTTTTGTAGTGTAATTTACACTACGAAAGGGATCTTATATTTAGGACCGGAGGAGTACTAATTTTTGTAGGTCCTTCTCCTCAATTTTCCCTTCTTTTGTGTTCAGGTAAAAAAAATTCCACGTAGATGTTCATTATGCGTTCAGTTGTTGTGCCATTGATCTCTAACAAAAGTTTTAACCCCGTTCCAATCCTAAATATAAGAACTAATTGACTAATTTGAATAGATTAAGTAAACAAGTTAAGTTAGTTATTTGTAATAAATAGATATTGTCTTTCCTAAAATATCCTTGCTAATTAAATTTATTAGCTAGAATTACCGTTATTACAAGAATCATCTTAAAAAAATGAATAAATATGAGAAACAAAGTGAATTTTGGTTTTATATTTATGATCAAAATAAAATTTAACGTGTAAAATAATAAACTAAAAAGGCCCAATGAAAAAAAAGTTCAGCAACCTAATTCAAAACTAGATAAAACTACAGAAATCTCCAAATTAGTTTTTGAGAAAAAGATAGAAAAATGACAAATGAACTTCATAATGCTAAAAAGGTCTGTTGAATTTGAGAAATCCTAATTTACTCTCAAGAGACTAATTTGGCATTTATCAATTTAC